ACATTTATCATTGGAAACTTGTACCTTTACATGATGTATCTTGGTTCTTATTTTTTCCCCATTCCCAGCCCTCCCTTCAACACCCCATCCTTCTCTATTTATAAAGACTTTGTTTCCTTTGTTTTCACTTCTCATAATTTTTCCTTTTCCTTCTTTCCTTTCCCCTAACCCTCCCACTTCCCCTACCCCTTTGGACTTTTTTTCCCCCTGTTTTACATTATCAATTATTCATTTTAATCATTGGTACATTTTAGGTGTACAGTATAATGACATTCATCATTGGAAATTTGCACCTTGACATAGTCTTTCTTGGTTCCTATTTTTCCCCCTTCCCCTGCCCTCCCTTCAACCCCTCCATCCCTCCCTATTTGCAAAGACTTTGTTTCCATGTTTTCATTTTCTCGTATTAATTCCATTCCCTTCTTTCCTTTCCCCTACCCCTCCCTATTCCCCTTCCCCTTTGCCCCTTTTCTTCCTATTTCACATTACCTATTATACATTTAGTCCTTATCGACACTTTCAGTTTATCACATTAGAGAAACTATTCAGTATTTACACATGTGTGTCCTACTTATTTCACTTAAGAGTATCGCCTCAATGTGCATCCATTTAGCTATAAATGTCTCTAATTTCTCATGTTTTATGACTGAGTAGTGCTCCATTTGATAAAAAACCCCATATTTTCTTGATCCAGTCTCCAGCTGATGGGCATTTGGGCTTGTGCTGCTATGAACATGGGTGCACATATATCACTGTGGTATGATTCTTCTAATTCTTTGGGGAAGATAGCCAGCAGGGGAAGAGCTGGGTCAAATGGGAATTCCAGTCCTAGTTCTTTGAGGTATCCCCATACTAATTTCCACAGTGGTTGCACCAGTCTACACTCCCACCAGCAGTGGAGCAGGGTTCCTCTTTCCCCACAGCCATGCCAGCATTTGTTTTTTTGTTGTTTTTTTTTTAATCCAAAAAGGGAAGTAATTTCTTTCTTTTTTTTCCCATTAAGTTTATTGGTACATTTTAGGTATAAAATACAGTTGCATTCATCATTGGGATCTTGTACCTTTACATGAGTATCTTGGATCTTAATTTTTTCCCCTTCCCTTGCCCTCCCTTCACCCCCTCCACCCTTCCCTATTTGCAAAGACTTTGTTTCCATTGTTTTCCTTTTCTCATATTTTTCCTTTTCCCTTTTTTCCTTTCCCCTACCCCTCCCACTTC